AAAAAATGTTTCATTACAAGCGAAACCACTGGTTATCTCTAATGAAGAAATTCAGTGATAGAGTCAGGAAAGGATAAACAGAGCCTTTTATGGTGTTGGCAATACTACATTTCTTAATCTGAGCATGGGTTATTGAGTATGTGCTTTATAATTTTATTTCTCTTTAAGCTGTACATGTTTAATACCCTGTTTACAATTCTTAAGAGTTTTAAAAATTTGTTATAGATAATACCAATTCTTTAAAAATATATACATTAATCTATAGACTGAAACACATCAAAGTAAATGGTGGACTACTGGTCAGTTTTACTTTGTGAACCACAATTTCTGAAATTCCTGTGTTCCCTTCTCTTTTTAAGGTAGTAGTGAGTGACTGACTGAAAGTTGCTCAGTCGTGTCCAACTCTGCAACCCCATGGACTTTACACACCATGGAATTCTCCAGGCCAGAATATTGGAGTGAGTAGCCTTTCCCTTCTCCAGGGGATCTTCCCAACCCAGAGATCGAACCCAGGTCTCCCACAGGCGGATTCTTTACCAGCTGAGCCACAAGGCAGTAGTGGTCACTAGTAATTACAGCACTAAAAACATATCATGCCAGACCCTGTGTTATTTCTAGATTTCAGCAAGGAACGTAAGCATCCTATTGATGCTACCTTGTGGATAACATGGAGAAATGTAGACTGAAAAATAGCATATATTATGGTTTAGCAATAACATCCCTGTATTTTCCTCCAGAATTTGGAAACAACCGAGATGGAGAAGTTTTTCAGGAGATCACCTTTACTAGTTACAAAATATTTTTTGATCTGTACCAATAAATAGACATCCCTGATTTAGAGATTAATTCACTCACCTGCTGGCCCAGCTAGACAACTATGCCTCCTCCCCACTCTGGAAGAGGACAAAGCAAAATGCCATGGGGAGTAAGTCTTTTGATCTATGTATTTTTTCTTGCTCCTTTAGCACCCTCTAGGTATCTTAGAAACCTCAAGTTCTTTCTGCTTCATGACTTACTTAACAGTAGCTCCTCACATAGCTATCATCTCCCCGCACTGTTATGTTCCTGGAGGTCAGATTATCTTACTCATTTTTGAAACTCCTAGCAGACTATTATGTACACGATGGACTTCTGTATTTGTTACATACTATTTAAGAGCCATATGAGCTTAGGTTACAGTAAAAACTTTAAGAACTAAAGAAAGATCAATAGATTAAATTGAACCAATGACAAAAACATAGCTATTATTTATTAAGCACTGTGTATGATAGGAATGGAGCCAAAGTGCTTTATAATAAACATCTCATTATATTCTCATTGTAGTAGAAATAAGCTTACTAACAAATGAAGAAACAGAAATATATGGAGTTAACAAGATCATTTGTGTGAGATCACCCAACCATGATCTGATCTTGGCTATAACTCCAAAACCAAATCACTGAACCACTACTGAGGTATACTGCTAAGCCTTCAGAGATCCTTCTTTATTGGTATTTGTAGGTACTACTGCATAGTGGTTGAGAAAGAGGGGTCTGGGACCACAGTGCTATGGCTAATATTTATATTTTGCTAATTACTGATATACGGTCAGGTTTCTTAACCTCCATTTCCTCATCTGTAAAATGGGAATAATATCCTTACTTCAGAGGATTATTGCAAAGATGCAATGGGTCAACACAAGTAAAAGACTGATGTTAACCTGTATTACTGTTATTTATCTGCTACTTTTGTAGACTTGGGCCTAGGAGCCAGAGTGTCCCCCATGACATTATAAAGGGGGAACAACATTGAGAAAACTTTATATTACACAACCAAATGTTACCTTACCTAAAAACTAAGAAGCTTTTTCGGGAATTGAAGGCTAAACTTCCTTTCCCCCTAACTTTCAGTAAGAAAACCAAAAAGGTTAAAAAGTGAGGTGATTAGAAGTTGTATTCCTCTTCTTTAACTTACTTTGTTGGTCAGTCCCTAAAATGTTTCAATGAAATATGAAATAAATTATCACTCTCTTGCTATAAAACTGCACTCCAAGGTCTAAGTTGATAAGGAGCTTTAAAAAGACTTAAATCTTGACAGAAATAAGTGAAGTCAGTTTGTTGAAAGTTTCTTTTTTATTCTACAAGAATTGATTGGTACAATCCTGCAGAACCAACATGTGTCATTTAGACAAATTTCTTTTTCTTTTCAAAAGTAAATGAAAATGCCCTCTAAATAATTTATATATCAATTTGTTTAATTTTTGAAAACAAAAGTCAATAGGGTCTGCTTTGTCCTATTTAACCATAAATGTTACACATTTACAAACTGAAGCAAAACTGGATAGTAGAGATTTAAAGAAAATCTTTAAAAGAATTTAAAGCAATTTTAATTGCTTTTCAGTCCACTGTGTTTTCAAAGTTGATTATCATCAAGCCAGGATGAAAGCTGTGAACTCCAGACCATCTGCTTCTTTAATAAAAAGAATGTTTAGATTATTAACAAAATAATATCTTTAAATGTTATCATCACACAGTTGGAATTTTAGTATAAACTTGCATATCATGTCCCTTTCCATTATTTATTCTACTTTAAAAATATATACAGCTAATGATGTTTAAATAAGTATTCTGAGCCATGTGTCCAAATATAAACATTTGAGAAATTCAAACTGCAGCAACAAGTTATGAAAGGATTAAAGAAAAAAGATGAGCTACAAATTATATGGGAGAAGGAAAAGTTCTACTTAATATTCATATCCAGGTAGATATGTATTTTCTAATTTTTATATACATACCTAATTGAATATAGACAAGCCATCAAACTTTAACCAATTACAGACTAGACTAAGTCAGTACTATTTTCTACAACAGGTAACAGTGGTGATTTAAAACTTTTTAACATACCTCAATAGTTTTATCACAAGTTATTTGTGGTAATAGTCTTTAAATATCATGAAGTTTAGATAGGTACAGATTAAATAACTATTATCTATGCCAGACTTGGCACTTTGATGATACCCAACTCTGCTTAATTATGGTGTTAACTATCGGAACACGACAGAGCAGGCAGGCAACCAGAAAAGGACATTCAACATACTCTCAGGTTTATCACTTTAACAGTACTCTTTACAATCTGCAAATCTAAACACAGAGGAACACTTAAAAAGCTGCAGGACAAGAACCCCAACAGTCTGTAAAATCTTAAGCTTCAGTTCTTAATCCATTGATAAATATTGTTGAAGGAGTAGCTATTTGGTCTTCAAACATTTTAGAATTAAAGGGTTGAAAGTATGTTTATCCTTTGCTACACTGTCGCACTTTAAATTAGCAAGCAGGACAACCTGATTTCACCTTGCTCTTACATGCAGAAGTGTATGTGCATTTTAAGACAACTTAAAATTAAGAGCTAACTTTTAGTTGGTGGCAGTTAAGTGATTTAAATTGCTGTCCAATCTGTATTCTGTAGTACCACATACCAAAGTCCTAAAAATATGCCAGTCATGTTCAGCGCTCATCAGTTTCAGGTAGGGGGGAGAAACATGGCAAAAAGCAGTCGTAATTTTTTTTTTTTTTAGAACAGCATAAGAGCTTTAAACACAATTTTGCATCATCTTGTATTCTATCCTAGAATACCTGGAACAAAATCTTATTTCAGTCAGCTCAATCTATGCAAGTTATAAAATACAAACACAGACTAAATCCTATAGTGTACAGAAAATGCACTATTTAATACTCATTAAATGCAGTACAATCAATGAAGATTATCAAACAAGAAACACACACACAGCATTCTAAATGTTTAAATCATCTTAGGGCTGCTAAATCAGAGATTGTACAAATTACATGTGCAAGGAAACAAACAAACAAACAAAAAAACCCCCAAAAAACAAAGAAGAAAAAGAAAGAAAAAACCAAAGAAATTAACTTCTCAGTGCATCACACCCACTAGAATAAAATGTATGGCACTGTTACACTTTTACTTTTATATTAACAACGGTCAATTAAAGCTAGGAGTGACTCCCGACATTAAAGCCACATTAGAGCAAGAATTAGCCAATTCAATGTTTAATGAAACAGATCACCTTTTTTCTTTGTAAAAGCACTGAAAATGTAATGCGTGCTGATAACTCACTAAAAGTTTTCTCATGTCGTTTGCTCCCCATTGTAGTGTCTTAAATTATTCTGTAATTATTCTACCTGTTAACAACAGTCTGATTTTTAAGGTCTCTGTAAACTCTGTTACTGAAACATACTAGTTCCTGTGTGGTAAAAATGTCTTTATGAAAAAAAAAATAACATATCTGGTCAGAGATCATAGAATAAACCCAAACAACAAAATGACATTTTCCAAGCTACTGAGAAATAAATTAAACCATGATGTGTCAATTTAAAATTATATCTATATTAACTAACATTTCTATGCTATATTTTTTTCCTCATAAAATTAAACAATGCAGAATAGGGTTTGGGCTACAGTTAATCACATATGGTTTTCTTAAAAACAAAACTTTATTTACTATAAACAACTAAAAGGTAATTTTCCTCCTCCACAACAAGTCGGCATTAAATTGAAGGCTTTGTTTAAAATATCCACTGCTTACAAGAAAAGTACTTTTAAAAGGATAAGAGGAATCAAAATTACCAAAGTTAGTGTGCCAAGAGTAGATAGAAACAACCCAGAAAAGTATAGATCATTGTGTTGAATATTTATGAATAGCCCAAAATAAGTCCCAAAGTTTTTCTACCTTTACAAATAAAAAAAGGTGTCCTTTCCACAGCTTGGGGATATGCATTGTACATTCCCCCCCCCAACAAGTGTATGAGTAAGGTTCTAAAAATGTTGCCATATTAAGTTCTTCGGTACCTAAAATTACAGGACAGCAATATTACAGCGGCAATGGTGCATCAATTCTCAAATTACGATCCAACACGAGTTGTTGTGGTTCTTTTATCGGAGAAAAAGCTTTTCAGAAGGAACACCTGCCCTATGCTAACCACGAGGAGAATGAGGGCTTCTCCTACTGACCAGTAGGCCACTCTCGTGTTCAGGTCCTCGGCTCTGCTTCGGCCTTGAGCTTCTCTCAAGCGGAAGTGAGTCTGATAGTCAATGACAGATTTCAGAGCTTCATGGATTGAAACACAGGCAGATTCCATCTAAAGAGGAAGAGTTTCAGTTAGCAGGTTCATACTTTCTGTACAGTCCATCTAGCATATCCATCGTTTCCTTCAATCTGATCGCAAGTCCTCATGTGACTAACATCCCACTGAACTGGCCCTCATTCACTCACTCATTCACGTCAGTGGTCCTGGCAGAGCAACCCCTTCCCTCGCTCCCACCAGGATGCCTGGCAGCTGGCTGCCCCAAGCTGGAGGGTGGCAGCTGCAGCATCCGTTCGGTGCCAGAGGACCCACGAGACAGTGAGGGCTGGCGGCGACAGAGTGTTAAGGCCAGGTTTCTCCAGGAGGAAGAGAATGGCAGGTCAGCAAATTTGACCAATGATATGCATATGAATCGAAGTCCATGTATATAAAAAAGTGAGCAAAACATGGCATAAAAGTAGACTGTCAGTCAAAGTTATTTCAAGTATCTTAAAAACAGCTGAAACTTCAAAGTGGGAACTTTTCCCCCCCACATTTACCACTCTGCTAAGTTTCTCCCTCATTCCAGTCAACAAAACCAATATATACGTTCTCAGTGGGACATAAGTCTTATTTTCACTGTGAGTCAGTGGGCCTTCATCTGATGACATCTTACCTTTTTCTACATTACACTATTTGCTTGAGAAGGGTTAAGAGTCTACTTTTTCTGGTTGTTGTATACAAACAACCAGTTTAATATTTTTCTACTGCTGAAAATTTAGTCCTGGCAGTGAGCTACAGGTTTTATTATATTATACTTATTTTACATCACAAGCCACATATTAGGAGTTTAAAAAAAATGAGTTTGTTGTAATTTTAATAATAGACATTAGAAAATAATTTAAGCACTTAATAAAGTTCTACCAAAATAAGTAGAAAGGAATAGTTACAAAAATATTTCAGAGAAAGTTTCTTTAAAAAGCATGAGAGATTAGGAGGTCTACAAAGTGAATTTACTGATTAGAATACTCAAACTTTTTTGCTTCTTGTTTTGTTTTGGTTCCTAGGAATGGAAGATCACCATGTACTAAAAAGAATGATTCCTAAGTTTTAGTAAGAGGTAGACAGGTGCTTCTAGCATTTCTTTGCTTTCTATGTTGTCTCAAAACGATGAACAGTCTAAGAATTCTTCCTCTGAAAAGTATGTATAAAAACAAGGATTTGATACAAGTTCAGAGCATTCAAGGAATTCTTGAAGCATGACAAAAGGGCACAGGTTAAGAATGACTGAACTAGAGAAAATCACAGAAATTAAAGAACTACTTACATGGATTCATACAATTTTTGAGGTGGTGTTAGTTTTCTTTTTCATTCTACCTTCAAAGTGGAAATGTTCTCATGTCTTCAAAAGTATAGAGACTAGTATGATGAACCCCATGTCAATAATTAAACACGGCTAATCTTATTTCACCTATCTTCCTCCCCATTCCAATTATTTTAAGGTATATCTCATATATTTTACCATTTCAGCTATACTTCTACATTTCATATTTATTTCTGAAAGGTAACAATTTAAAAAATATAATCCCAGTGGCACTGTAACAGAGTAAGAATAACTCCTTAAAAGTTATCACATATAAAGCCAGTGGAGACTGCCTGACCATCTAGTGGTCGGGACTCAGAGCTTTCACTGCCTTGGCCTGGGTTTGATCCGAGGAGGTTAGTTCCCTCCTAAGATCCCGCAAGTCACATGGCATGACCCGAAGGAAAAAGACAGTGTTCAGATTTCCCCAAACACCTCAACAAAAGCTGTTTCCCAATCAGAAGGCAAACAAGGTCAATATAATCATTTAGCTGATACGTCTTTCAAGTCTTCGTTCATCTTCAGGTTTTCTTCCTGTTTTTTTACCCCCTTCCCATCTACTTGCTGAAAAAACGGGGTCCTCTCTCCATTAGCATTTCCCACTTCCTGGATTTTGTTGATTATTCCCCTGGTGTTCCGCTATCCTCCGTATTTCTTATAAATTATGGTTGGAGCCACAGACTTCATGGGTTTCAATTGTAATATTCTGAATGGGAATACCACACAGGCAATGTAATGGACTTACTGCATTCTATCAGAAGAGATGCTAATATCTACTTATCTCTGCATTTGTGAATGATGATTAGATTCAGGGGATATCAGACCTATCTGTTATAAAATTCCCCACCAGTCTTTATATATGAACACCATCTACTTTACACTATAGTCATTCTATTTATTAATGGTGAAAAAATGGTGATTTAGCAAAACACTAGCAACTTCACTCACTCACCATTTATTTGGCCATTTCTCAGCTGGTAATTTTTTTAAACTCTACTGCATGAACAGCTGCTTTATAGGAGACTTTTTAAAAGTGGAAAAATGTAAATAAGAAAAGCTTAAAAATATGAAACAAATAAAGGAGGTTAAGTGATCCTAAAAGCATTTATCTACTTAGGTTTTTAAAGCAAGGTATCGTATTACACAAATTAAAACTGCTCAAGGTTGAGTTATAAACAATAGTCCCCAAAAAAACCTTTGTACAAAGTGCTGTTCACACATGATGCTAAAATAAAAAGAACATCACTAAAAATAAGGACATCTGAGCACATCTTATTAATGTTTATAATAGGTTTATGAATTAAGGTTCTGACACACACTTTAAAAAGTGCCTCTATCACTATGCGATCTTGGTCAAGAGACTACCTGGAACCTGGAAACAAGGAAATCCAATTCAAGGTTTTAATAGGAAAGTGGTAAATAATTCTTTTGGAAACCAAACTGAGTATCTTTTAGGCATACTTTAAGCTCCTACGGTATCTGAACTAGAAATAAAATAGCCCTTTTCATCACCTGAGCAGTATTTGTTCACTGGCTCTAAACTTCTCTTGCTATCTTTCTCTCATTAAGCTCTTCTTCAAAATAAAACCCAATTTAGCTACCTTAACTATTTTAGATTTTTGTTAGATGACTTACTAGTAATCTTTACTATTTAACCTTCAGTTACAGCACAAGTTATTTTAACAGCAGTCTGCGTAACACTAAATACTTGTATAAAAGTGTGTTTGCAAACATATACATAGGTATATATTAATTATGGCATCACTTTGCTTCCACTTATATCAACCTGCTAAGTTACAGTAGCAACATTCCTCCATAAATTACAGAAAATGCTTCAGAATGTTGGAGCACTGTTTAGGCTTTTAAACTTCCTTTGTTAATGACATTTCTACCAAAGTGATCCTCCTATTTTAATGTCTATTTTCTTTTCATAAAATACTTTTAACACTGGTCTTCACTAAAAAGAGTCTGAAGTTCTCTGTGAAATGCCTAATATACTGTAAGAGTTAAGATAGGTCTTAAAGATTGGGTTAAAGTCACAAAAGTTAGTGTTTCATTAATGAGTTAATGCATATTATATTATGCCCTTTCCCCCCTTTAAACATACGACTTTTTATTACCTGGGTAAGAGCACTGACTCGGTTCTCACTAGGAAACAAAGGTGGGTCTTCTCCAACTTGAAAATCAAAATATACAGTTTTATGTGTGAAAGTAGAAAATTCATTGCTAAAGCAAAATTTGTATGTCCCGTTTTTGGAGGCTGTGAAGGTGTAACTATCATACTGCTTCTTCATCTCCTTGTACAACACGTTACCGTCAGGATCTTCTAGTCGACAGTCTACATCGTAGTGACCACCAGTAATAACCTACAGAAGAGGAAAACAAACAGAAAATGAAGGGACCACTGCAGGTAACAAGCCTGAGAAATCAGTCAGGTTTCCTGTTAAAACGGCTGTATAAGGTTTTTAAAACAATCACAGCCAATTTATGTTTCTTGATTTCTAACAGTGGATGGGTCCTGGGAGGCAGATTTCAATTCAACTAAAGCTTTACAGAAACTGAACACACTTCCTCATGACAGGAGAGGGAATGAACCAACACGCCAGAAGATGGTTCCAGTTACATCATTTAATTCTCCCCACAACCCTACAGGAGGGTATTTCCCCCTCATTTTACAAATGAAGAACCTGAGTTAAAATAAATCATCTACCCAAGATTACTCACCTAATAAGAGGCTGAATGCCAAACTTGTACTCTTGACCCTAAGCTAACTGCCACGTACTATTTTCCTTCCCCAAATTTCCTTACCTTATTTCCCATTAGCATGATCCAAGCACTCACAGACTGTTCAGTGAAGCCGTAAAGTAGGTCAGTCTTTTAGCCTGACACCCCATGCTATTATACGTATAGAATTGAAACTCATTTTACTGCCAAATTACAAACAGGCTGTGTTTCTTAAGTTCTTTTATAGGTCAGTTACATGGAATTTGATGCATACTTTGTTTTGAATTACAGTTTGAAGAGAATTGACTTGTGGGTTGTTCTAAGAGTGTATCATTATTATAAACTTGTTTCCAAGAGAAGCATAAATGATTAAACTACTTTACTTAAACATGTGTGATTAATGGAAAACCAAAACAAAACAATGCAAAAGCAGATAAATCTTTTGTTCATCTGCAAAGCCTATATTTAACAGGAAAGCATAGGTAGGTGAAATGCTTCTGAAGAGGACTCTGGAACTGTTTTCAAGGGGTTATGCTTATTCAGCATAAGCATATCTGAGCCATCTGAATTACACAAATGAAGAGAGGAAGAGGTACCAGGGCAAGTGTAAGAGAGAAAAAAGCAATCGAGTGAAGAGGAGAAACACTAGGAGGGAGAGGGGACAGGAGAAGAGTCCCAGGGTGCCTGTGCCCCCCGAGGAGGAGAGACACGGGGAGGAGGGCTTCCAACCACCACTGGACGTGTTGACGTTTTCAAGCTTGACCCTTCTGGTCTAGCAGGGTATTGACATTCTAGATTTGAAGAACGAGAGATCAAACTCTGGACTTCAAAGAAGACTGGTTACTTACATGACCTTTGTCACTAAAGAGATATGAATAACTAAACTACAAGATCATTTCGATAATTAAACGATATGTAACTGGGCATTTAGGAAACTGTAAAACAGGCAAATATTAACATATAGATATAACATCTGACACAAAAATGACGTCTTATCAATTGGGTATTCCCCTTTTCACCAAAAGTGAACAACCTTTCCTATAGGTGAAATACTGACTGCATTTTACAGACCCAATTATTCACACTTAACACCACAGTACTTTAAATAATCAAAACATACATCCAAACAAAAAACAGAACCAAAACTGATCATCCTGCCACTTTCTTCTATCAAACTTTAAAACAAATAATCTTATTTCAGATAAAGACTGTTGTTTAGTAGCTAAGTCGTGTCCAACTTTTTGCAACCTCACGGACTGTAGCCCGCCAGGCTCCTCTGTCCACGGGATTTCCCAGGCAAGAACACTGGAGTGGGTTGCCATTTCCTTCTCCAGGGGATTTTCCCGACCCGGGGGGCTGAACCCATGTCGCTTGCATCTCCTGCATTGGCAAGCGGATTCTTTACCACTGAGCCACCAGGGGCTAACAATCCGTCTGATCATGTGAGAAAGAAATGAGATCATTTTGAATGATGTGTCCCTACCTGCCCAATTTAGTCACAGAATGTCGACATTATTGCTTCTCTCAAATTCACTCCATCTCTTCTGTTCCTGATCCACAGTCCAGAGAGGACTACTGCCACAACTTCCTAAAAGGTCTTCCCAGAACCCATTCCCTCTTCTGTCTAACCCAGGGTTCTTAACCTCGGTTGGACTATTTGGGGTGAACAGTCTTTGCTGTAGGGCTGCGCTGCCCTGTGCACTGAAGCACATCTGGCAGCATCTCCACCAGAAGAGGGTAACACCTCCCTCCCCACGTGTCTTAAACCTTTTGACAGTTCCTGTGGCCTACAGAAAAACCCAAACCTGTCATTGACAGCATACTGCTCCCCAGCACTTCCTCAAGGAAGTCTCAGCACCTTTTATACCCTTTGCACTGCGTTCCAAAAACACCAGAATGCCAGAATTCTCTGAACAAGTCTCTGCACTAACAGTGACAAGTTACATAGGGTCTGTTTGCTAAAGAAGCACAGGACCCAAAATGATTATGTTTACAAATCTACAATTGATTACAGTATCAAACATCATAGCCAAAAGCTGTCTCACAGCAAGAGGACACAAGAGGTCAGGTCCGGGTTCCCCTGTCCTCGCTGTGAGGAACGAGGCCAGAGTAAACCCTCTGGGGTCAGGAACCACCCAGATGTACAGGAAACCCTTTGGAACTAGTGAGCCCAAAATAAGAGTCTTGACAGGGTTTTTTATATTTTGCTGTTCACATAAGCATATTTCTGCCATGTAACCATTCTCAGTAGCAGACTCTCGGGGGACTCACACTGAGCACGCACAAATCATCAGTCTCACTGTTACCAATGAAGAGCGCTGACAAACTGGTATAAATCGCCCCTAAAGTCCTCAGATCCACAATTACAAAGCAACACTACTACTCAGTATATTTCAGTGCCGACTCAGGCTAATTTTCAGGCTTGTTGGAATTAAGTCTCACAAACATAACATATCTGCTGAGGAAGTCCTTTTCCCCTCTGCCAGCTTGTAGACTATTATTTATCCCTCCAGACTCAGCTCACACAGCAGACCCTCCGTTAAATTTCCACTGATGATTCTCCATCTTCAGCCAGCACAATACTTGGGGTGTACTTTCATTACTGCACTTAACGTTACATGACTATGTGCCTGTCAGGTCCCTGAGGTCAAGGTCAGCCTCATTTATCTTTCAGAGGTAGTACAACAGTTAAGAACTTATAGAACTGCATACTAATTCTGCTACTGCTACAGTTTGGGACCTTGGGTATCACTAGTAAATGAGTAATAAAAAAAGCTTTATCCATCTCATATCGGGTTGTCCAGGGAATTAAATACTACACCTGAAATGCTTGGTATACTGTCTGCCACACAACAGATGCTGATTTTTTAGCCTGTAATAGTACTCTCACCACCAAGCACAGCATCTGCATGCAGAAGTCAAGAAATATTTAAGTTCAAAGAAATAAACTTTTCACTGACACTTTATATTACAATTCTTGCCATCATCTTTTCTGTCCTCATGAAGTTAAGCAAGCTAAAGAGTCATCCTTGGCCTCCCTCACTCACTGTAGCCAAATTACCACCAACTTCTGTGGATTTTACATAAAGAGTATCTCCCATCCTTTCACCTTTCACTTTCCTTCTCCCTGCTGCTACCACCCTGGCCTCAGCCTGAATCACTACAACAGCCTCCTAATCAGTCTTTTACTGATGCATCTACTTGGCAGCTCTCAATACTTTCTCTACCTGCTCAAGTTAATACCCCTACAGCTACCCAGAAAACTTAGAACTTGTCATTGCACTGCTTACAACCCCAATATAGCTTCTCATACTCTCAGGAAAAACTAAAATCTTTAACTCAGCCAGCTGGGCACTACATGGTCTGGCCTCTGCTGACGTCCCTTCTTCTGGCTCCTTATTCCCAGCTGCAGTATTTCTTCAAATTTCTAGTCGTAATTACCACAGTTCTTCAAATTCCCAGTCATGGTTTCCATAATGACCCTGCAAAGTCCATTCCCTCTTTCTCCTTATCAAAGCATTTATAACTTATCCTTTACAGTTCGCTATCAAATCGCTTCCTAAAGGAAGCCAAGAGATCCCAAAGACCAGAACGCTTATCACCTAATCTTACTGCTCTTAAAGCACAATTTTATAGAATGAACTAGTACTAATAAAGAAAACAAGGTAGGATGGGTAGAGAATCAAGAATGACTGCAGCGATCATATCTGTTTTCTTCACTTCTGTTATCAGCAGCACCTAGTACTCAATAGCTGTTCAAATATGCGAAGTCAACCATCAGTAAAAAAGAGAGTAAAGAATGTTCTAACCAAGAGGATGAGATGGTTGGATGGCATCACCGACTTGATGGACATGGGTCTGGGTGGACTCCGGGAGTTGGTGATGGACAGGGAGGCCTGGCGTGCTGCGGTTCATGGGGTCTCAACGTGTCGGACACGACTGAGCGACTGAACGGAACTGAAATGAACCAAGTTAAGAAACTGCTACTGCTGCTGCTAAGTCACTTCAGTCGTGTCCGACTCTGTGCGACCACATAGACGGCAGCGCACCAGGCTCTGCCGTCCCTGGGATTCTCCAAGCAAGAACACTGGAGTGGGGTGCCATGTCCTTCTCCAAGTTAAGAAACTACATCTGTTAAATAAGCACTTTTATATTATTCCAAAGAAAAAGTGCCTTTCACTTATCACAGCAATTCTTTCTACAAAACCTCTGGCAGATGGTTATCTGGTCTGGAATAGAGCTCTTCCAACGAAAGGGACATTAACCAATAGTCCTAACATCCATGGAAAAGCTGAAAAGCAATGGAGCCAGATACTGGCAGCACTTGAAATACGATGAAAGTGGAGGTGTGGTTTAGAGAGTAGCGAACTGACGTAAGGCACTACAGAACAGGAGTAATTTTTTTTTTTTTTTAGCTCTTGAGGAAGAAAGTTCAAAATGAAGGACATTAGAGAATGGATGGAAAAGTCACACACACAGGAAGCATTTCTGGAATTCGTGTATCTTAATATCTGTTCTTAACTATCTAATGCTCAAGGTTTCAGAAAGGAAAGCCAAACGGCCTGCATCGGCTACCTAGATGTGATTCTGAAATGAGACACAGAATGAGCAAACGGCCTCGGCCCTGGCGCCGCGCGCTGCGGCCGGCAGCTGCCTGTGCCCGCAGTACCTGGAACTCGAGAGTGCACTTGGTGCCCTGCGTGATGTCCTCGTAGAAACACTGCTTGGCATTGTCCGGCAGCTCGAAGGTGATCTCGGAGGCGCCGCCGGGGCCCGGCACCAGGAACAGCAGCAGCACGAGCAGCCTGCAGCCACAACGGCCCGCGGCGGCCGCCCAGCGCGGCGCGGACCCCAGCCAGGGCATCCCGAGGCGGCGGCCTCAACGGAGCTGGGGAGACACGGGGTCAGGTCTGCACGAACTCGCCGCGGCGCGGCAGGCCTCGGTCCGGGCGGCGCCGCCAAGACGCACCGCCGCGTGGCTCCGAGCCCCGGAGAGAGTCGAAATGCAGAGGGAGTCCCTGGGTACTGCGGAAAGTACTGAGGCACCAGGGCGCAGAGGCCAGAACAACCCGGAGAGCGGAAACAGGGCAGGCAGAGAACAGGCGGAAAAGGCCTGCGACGGCCGGAAGCGGGTACTAAGGGTCGGGGGAGACGAGGCGGGGCCTGGCGCGCCTGCTCCCGCGACCCGGATGTACTCGCCCCGGGCCGCGGGGAGAGGCGTTGGAGTGCGTACGTGGAAGCTCGCGAGGCGTCAGCTCTGCCCCCGCCAACCCCGGGCCGAGAGGCGGGGCCAGCGTGGCGTGCGTGGCGGGGCGGGCCCGGAGAGGGGGCGTGGCCGGCGGTAGGTGGGGAGTGCTTCTGCAACCGCTGAGCGTCGGGGGAGCCGCCGGGAGGAGGAAAGAAGGGGTCTCCTGGCCGTCAGGGGCTCGTGCCCGGAAGGAGAGCGCTCTGCGATTTCCGGAGAGTTTTCCTGTGAATAATAACAAATTTGAGGGGAAGCAGCTTTGCTGGGAGCGCGAATTCTCTGACCACAAGACTGCAGGACTTCTAATCCCTACTCTGTTATTTATCAGCCGCTTGACCTTAAACTGTCTGCTTAAGCTCTCTCTTTTAGTCTTTGCAACTGCAAAATGAGGATAATAATAGTACTTAACCCAGATGGTTACTATTTGAAAAATGCTGTGTAAGAGTCTTGTTATATAATAAGCAGCATATAATAAGCACGTGGGTAGGAACCAGGCAGGGAAGAGGGGCTTATGGAAAGGGGGATGGAGAGATCTTTAATGGCCTTGGGTGCCCAAAGCCTCTGCAGGGGAAAAGGAGCCCCTAGGAAATGAGATTTGGGGGAGACTGTACCTTTCTGAGAACAAGTGAATGGGGGCAGGACCCTATGGGGCCTTCCCAGGATAGACAGCCCCTTCCCTCAACTCCCAATGTTCTCAGCCTGCCCTTAGTCTGTAGAAATACTCTGGTCAAAAATAAATCTAATCAGAGAAGTGAAGAAAAATGCAGAAATGAAAACAGACGAGACAAAATAACAAAGTTATTAAACAATGTGAAGGACGCTTAGTTCTTTCTCAAGGGCTCTAGATAATATTCTGAGCCGCATCCTTTGAGCTGCCTCGTAGAAAATGAAACCCCCACCAGGCAGAAGAAGTTAACTACATGATGACCAGACTGTAGCCATGACATCAGTTTAGTGCGTTTCAGTCGCTCAGTCGCGTCCGACTCTTTGCGACCCCATGAATCACAGCACCCCAGGCCTCCCTGTCTGTCACAAACTCCCCAAGACATAAGCTACCACGATTCCAAGAACTGGCGTCAAAGGAATAGGAACAGACTGACTCGAGATGAAGATTCATTGTACTTAAAACAATCGAGATGACACTGACCAGACCACTGCGTGACTGACTTCAAGAAGACTGTCAAAGTTGACTGCTGTTTCTGCATGTATAGCCCTCTCCCTCCACCTATACACCCTTGAGATTCCCCTTTAAAAGGTCTTGCTCACTTATTATCAGTGGGGCTTTGGCCTTTGGACACAAGTCTGCCTCTCCCTGTTGATTGCCAGTCTCCAAAACAAAGCAAACCTTCCTTCCAACCAATCTTGCTCTTGAGTTTCAGCTTTCTAGTGCCAAGCAGCTGTACCTCGCTTTCGGTAACACTTGGTCAGAAACAGAAGTAGTATTTGTATCTGTGAGTGGAAAGAAGACTGAGTTTCAAAGAAGAAAACTTGGATTCTATTTTCTTACTCTTCACTTTTAGCAAGTAACATTGCTCTTCTAAACCTCCATTTCTTCATGCATCAAGTGGCAATACAGAGAATGAATGAATAAAGATTAAGACCATAATGAATATAGCACACACTACCAGAAAGGCAGATAGACCAATTTTTAGAAATACAACAATACCAGATGTTGGTGAGTAAATAGAACAACAAGATCCCTTGTACATCCCTGGTGGATATGTAAGTTGACACAACCACTTTGGAAAACAATGTGGCATCATCTAATAAAGTGGAAGATACATGGATGACCTAGAAGTTCCACTTTGCAAATACTTTGAAGTATATACTTTACAGCAGTGATTCTCCAAGTGTGCTCCAAAGATGTTTGGGAGCCTTTGAAATCCCTTCAGAGGGTCTGAGATTATCTAAGAGAGGTTGGATTCTCATCAAACATCTCAACCAAAACAACATATAACATATTAAATGTACAAGCAGATGAGTACCCAGCTTCTTGTATGAATCTAGATATTAAAGAGATTCACACAAATGTAAAGCAATATGACCGTTATCACTAAATTTTTATTTGGGCAATATTTCTATTTTTCATTTTAAAATGTGTTGTCTGTGTTAACATATGTAGTAGGTAAAACTGTATCCCCAAAAACACAGGTCCAAATCCTAACTCCCAGGCCCTGTGAATTCAAGCTCACTAGGAAATAAGGTTTCTGAGATGTAATTAAGTTAAGAATCTCAAGATGCAATCATCCTGGACTTAGGGCGGACCCTAAATCCAATGACTGGTGTCCTTAGAAGAGAAAGAAGATGGAGAGCTCAGACACACAGGGAGAACACCATATGAAGACAAAGAGGTTGTAGTGATGCATCTACTAGCCAAGGATTGCCAAGGACTGTCCACAGCCACCAGCAGCTGGGAGAGCGGCGTGGAACAAATTCACCCACAGAGCCTCCAGGAGAACCATCCCTATGTGAGTGCTCAGTCATATCTGACCCTTTGTGATCCCATGGACTGCAGCCTGCCAGACCCCTCGTCCATGGTATTCTCTAGGCAAGAATACTGGGGTGGGTTGCCATTTCCTACTCCAGGGGATCTTCCAACCCCAGGGATGGAACCCACGTCTCCTTCATCTCCTCTGTTGGCAGGCAGATTCTTTACCACCTGGAAGCCAGCAATACTTCAGTTTCAGGCTTCTGACCTCCACAATTGTGAGAGTATACTTTTCTTTGTTTTAAATCATCACATTAGTGCCAATTTGATATGGCAGCCTCAGGAAATCAGGACAACACATATTATTGTTACTTTAATTATTTATTTTTAATTGAAATATGTGTGCATGCTAAGTTGCTTCAGTCGTGTCTGACTCTGTGACATGGACTGTGGCCTACTAGGTTCCTCTCTCCATAAGGTTCTCCAGGCAAGAATACTGGAGTGGTTTGCTGTGCTTTCCTCCAGGGGATCTTCCCGACCCAAGGATCCAACCTGCGCCTCCTGCAGCTCCTGCCTTGCAGGAGGGTTCTTTACCATGAGCTACTGGGGAAGCCCCTGTTGAAGTACACAAATTATGTCAGGTTCAGGCATGCCCCGTCATGCTCTGATAGTCAGACACATTGCAAAATGATCACCACACTCCAGGAGCCATTTGTCACCACACAGAATTGTTACAGTATTATTGACTGTATTCCCTATGTTGTATATTATATTCCCATGACTCACTTATTTTATAACTGGAAATTTGTATCTCTTAATCCCCGTCACCTATTTCATCCAGTCCCCACCTACCTCCCTTCTGGCAGCCACTCTGTTTTGTTCGTTCATTTGTTTTGTTTTTAGATTCCACATATAAGTGAGACTGAGGCAGGAGGTAGACAGCCCCTCCTAGAGTAGATACTCCAAGATGAGAATTGCAGCACAATTGAGGAAGGAGGCTGGGCCCTGCCCAGATAGAAGACAAGAGACCACATACTTCTCATTCTGCAAGTCAGGAGACCTCCCCAACTCGGCGCATGCTCGGAAAGGCTCCTCGGAGGTCCAAAGGGGAGTGATGCTAATTACCCAAAGGCCCCTTCAGTAGAATCCCCCTGGGCTGAAAGATGAATTTGTACACATGGAAGGATCCTGAAATATACCAAATATAGACTCTGAACCAGATGAATCACAATGACAGGCCAAAGGAAACAGAAGAAATGCCCCCTGGAAGTAATTCACATCACCATGAGGACATGACTCCGAGACTTGGAGTCCACTCATGTGTCTATCTACTTTTCTTTTTTCCTCCTAATACATACTTTACTTGTTTCACTACTTTCCATCTGTGTGGGAATTCTTTTCCTGCAAAGCCAAAGAGCCAGGGCCTTGTCACTGACCTCTGGTCTAGTGGCTAGGACTTGATGTTCTCATCACTGTGACCCAACCTCAACCTCTGACCAGAAACTGAAGCCCCACTCCAAGCCTCTGCAGGCTGAGCTACCCAAGATCAAGGTCATATAGTACTTGTCTTTCTCTGACTTATTTCATTTATATTACACTTTCAAATATCCATGTTGCTGCAAGTGGCACAAATTCATTCTCTTTTATGGCTGAGTAATAGTCCACTGTGTATATATTGTTTTATTATTGTTAAGATAAATTATTCAGAAAATATTTTGTGTCTCAGATCTCTATAATTTAAATCTGTAATTAAATAATTTTTATTCATTTATTTTTAAGATTCTGAAATCAAAAGATTGAGAACCACTTATGCGTAGGTTTACCAGGATACATGTGCAAGAATACCTAAAGCCAAAGTCTCATAATAATTCCAAACTGGAAATAGCCCAAATATCCATAAATTTGAGTACAGTCTAAGATAGGACATTACATAGAAATAATAATGAACATATTACAGTTACACAAGACAACATGGGGGAATCTTACAAGCATAATGAAATAGAAACTAGGCAAAAAAGAAACCCCTATCAAATTACCAGTGGTATTTTTCACCGAATCAGAACAAATAATTTGACAGTTTGTGTGGAAACAGAAAAGACCCTAAAGAGCCAAAGCAATCTTGAGAAAATAGAATGGAGCTGGCAGAATCAACCTTCCTGACTTCAGACTATACTACCAAGCGACAGTCACCAGGACAGTATGCTCTAGTATTTTAAATGGAAAGATAATCATGAATTCCACATCCATACAAAAAATATAACCAATTTTCTTAAATATCACTGAGTATACTCTTCAACACATATAACATTTCATTAAGTATACCTACATGATAAGCACTTTAAATACTAGTCATCCTATCACTTATATGTAGAATCTAAAATATGACAGAAATAAATTTATCTACAAAACAGAAACAGACTCACAAACATAGAGAAGAGACTTGTGGTTGCCGAGGGGGAGGGATGAATTGGGAATTCGGAACTAGCAGATGCAAACTATTACATATAGAATGGATAAACAACAAGGTGCGACTGTTTAGCCCAGGGAACTATATTCAATATCCTGTAATAAACCAAAATGGAAAAGAATATGAAAAAGAATGTATATATGTATAACTGATCCTCAGGTCATGGGGCGTCACCTGGCAAGAATACTGGAGTGGGTTGCCATGC